GACAGATGCTTTTCCTGGGGCATTGGCTGAGCAAAACTCATCACAAGATCAGGAGGAGCCAAACGTCGAAACAAAATGGTTTTTCGACATGTTGGATATGGCAAATCATCCTATCTATGAAGGATGTAAAGAAGGTCAGTCACGTTTATCTCTTGCATCAAGATTGATGAGTATGAAAACGGATTACAATGTCACCGAAAGTTGCATGGATTCATTTTGTCAAACGTTGCGTGAATATTTACCTGAAAATAATGAAGCTCCAGAATCGTATTATGATTCGAAGGCTATGTTGAAGAATTTGGGAATGCCTTATGAAAAGATTGATGTTTGCAAAAATGGTTGCATGCTGTACTGGGGTGAAGAAAAAGAATTGGTTATGTGTAAATTCTGTGGGACTAACAGATATCGTCCGAGTAAGAATGTACGGAGACAAACTCCGTATAAAAAGATGTTCTATATGCTGGTATCGTACATATTGAAGCGTTTGTATGAATCACAACAAACGGCTTCGCATATGAGATGGCATGCCTCGCATTCTACCGTTGATGGAGAAATGCAACATCCATCGGATGCTTTGGCGTGGAAAAACTTCAATATGGTATTTCCTCAATTCGCTGCTGAGTCTAGGAATGTGTATCTTTGTTTGTGTACTGATGGATTTAGTCCGTACGGACAGTCTGGCATGCAGTATTCATTATGGCCCGTTATACTTTCTCCGTACAACTTACCACCTGAGATGTGCATGGAAAGAGAATTTATGTTTTTGACATTGTTGATTCCTGGGCCAGAACATCCGAAGAAGAGTTTTGATGTGTATTTACATCCGCTCATTAAGGAGTTGAAGGATTTGTGGGACATTGGAGTCTCTGCTTACGACGTAAGTGTGAAACAAAATTTTACACTGAGAGCGGTTCTTCTTTGGACGATCAGTGATTTTCCGGCGTATGGCATGCTATCGGGATGGAGCACACATGGAAGACTTGCATGTTCGTTTTGCATGGAGGAAACAGAAGTGTTTCAGTTGAGACATGGGAGAAAGTCCTGCTGGTTTGACTGTCATCGCAGATTTCTTCCAAGGAATCATCCGTTCAGACAAAATCGTACGCTTTTTACCAAAGGTAAAATCGTTACTGAGGAAGGTCCTGTTATGCAAACCGGAGAGCAAATTTATTCTGAGCGAATAAATAGTGGATATTTGGATGATTTGGAAGCTTCTGTGCATTGTGGAGGAAATTTTGGGCATAAGAAGTGCAAAGGATTTGGTGATTGGCATAACTGGTATAAGCGTAGTATTTTTTGGGATTTGCCTTACTGGAGTTCGCTAACGCTTCGACACAATCTGGATGTTATGCATATAGAGAAAAACTTTTTTGATAACATCATCAACACCGTTCTGAATGTGCCAGGGAGAAGTAAAGATAACATCAACTCGAGGAAGGACTTGAAAGATATATGCAAGAGAAAAGAGTTGGAGTTGACACGTGATGGTCACGCACCTGTGCCGATATTCAGACTCACAAAACCAGGTAAAACGGTGTTGTTTAAATGGTTAAAAGAAGAGGTTAAATTCCCTGATGGATATGCATCCAAATTGGCGCGATGTGTTGATACTGATTCATTAAAACTTATGGGAATGAAGAGTCATGATTGCCATGTATTCATGCAAAGACTTATTCCTATTGCATTTGCGGAGCTATTGAAACCGAGTGTCCACGGAGCGTTATGCGGTATCAGCACATTCTTTCGAGATATATGTGCAAGATCTCTGAGAAGAAGTAATGTAGAGGTTTTGAAAGGCAACATTCCTGAGATACTTTGCGCATTGGAAAAGGTATTTCCACCTTCATTTTTTGATGTGATGGAACATTTACCTATTCATTTACCAGATGAGGCGATATACGGTGGTCCAGTACAGTTTAGATGGATGTATCCATTTGAGCGATTTTTTTTCCATCTGAAGAAGAAGGCTAAAAACAAAGCAGCAGTGGAAGGATCTATCGTCAAACAGTATTTGTTAGAGGAGATCTCCTATTTCAGTTCTTTCTATTTTGAATCTCATATTCAGACGAAGACAAGGAGGGCTATCAACGAAGACGATAGAAGTTATCTCTACCACTATGATTCATGTTTCGGACTTATTCCCGAAAGTTTTCAGCCTATTGGACGTCTCATAGGCAAATCTGAAGAATATTGGTTAACTGTACAAGAGTACAATCACATCGCCACATATATATTGTTGAATTGTGAAGAACTTAAGCCATACGAAAGGTACACATTTTTTAATCTTAGATGTGATTAGAAATTAATTAATTACATATTTATATATTTGCTAACAACATGTTTTTAAGACTTTTTGACGAGGATGTTTTGGCAACATATCCTAATCTATGTGGGGAGGAACTTGAAGGAATGAAGGAACAACATTATGCATCTTGGCTTCGAGACTACGTAAGTATTCTAGCTATATATATATGTACGTGTATGTATTTGTGTATTAATTTAATTTTTATGCGCAGATTCGGTCATGCAGTGATAGAATTCCGGCATGGATCAGAGATATATCACATGGACCTGGAAGAAAAGTCATTTGCTGGCCGATAATGTTCACCCGAGGATACACGTTTCACACTTACGATCATGGAAAACATAAATCCACGTTCAATTACGGAGTTTGTATAAAAAGCGGGTCATCGGAAGATCCTGATTTCTTTGGGGTTCTTCGACTATATTTTCCAACTCCAGTATCCAGGATTAGTCGGGTTGAAAACAATCATATTCAGATGTGATTGGTTTGATACAACGTCGGGACGCGGCTCACGGAAAAATCGATGGGGAGGTATTGACATAAACCCGAAACGTTCATATGTAAAGTACGATCCTTTTATACTTTCAGATCAGGCAGACCAGGTATGCTTCATTCCATATATGAAACATTCTGCGACATCGGTGAAACGGCGACGGGAAGATCAATGGTCAGCTGTTTTGAAGATTAACCCACGAAGATTAATTATCGTGGATTCGTCGTCGACAACACAAGATCTCGATGAGCCAATGCAAGAGCAACTCGAAGATCCGGTTCTTCCCATCCGACTAGATGATGATTACGACGAGACACTTGCACTTCCTGACATAGACGACGAGTTACTTGATGATTCGTTACACGTACAAGACGATATAGACGAATTCGTTTCGGACCATGATACAACTCCGGATGATGAAAGTGATGAAGATTCTATGTAGACTTATTTGTTTTTATTGTTTTCATATGTATTTGTATTTTGAAAAATCTATCATATTTATTTGTATTTTTAAAAAAAAATTGTTAAATTCCAACGGGCATCCATTGGAATCGAATTGCACCAATCGAATCGACACCAGAATTACAACGGATATCCGTTGGAAATTTCCAACGGATATCCGTTGTAATAGTGGAAACATTGAATCCGTTCTGATAAATTCCAACGGATGCCCGTTACATTCTTCATTTCCAACGGGCATCCGTTGGAAATTCTGAAGCATTAAATCTGTTCGACGCACCTGGCGTCCATCGCGTCATTCCAGAATATTTTCAACGGATGCCCGTTGGAAATGAAGATTGTAACGGGCATCCGTTGGAATTTATCAGACAACATTAAATGCGCCCGAAGATTTCCAACGGATACCCGTTGGAAATCCGTTAGAATTGTCGATTATATAAGGGCGAGCGGCTCCATTCTTCTGCATCATTCCTCCAACATCTCAAAAAAAACGAGCAAAAAAAAAACCACAAAATGGTAATTGGTTTTCAATTCTTGTTCAATTCTTTAATATTTATGTTTTGTATTAATAACTAACTATTGTTTTTTACAGTTTCGTAGACGATTTTCTGGTTCCGGAGGACTCAATTCTTGTTCAATTCTTTAATATTTATGTTTTGTATTAATAACTAACTATTGTTTTTTACAGTTTCGTAGACGATTTTCTGGTTCCGGAGGACTGTTAGCGGGTTCTTCTGGAGCACCGCCACCGCCGCCACCACCACCTTCTCGTCTTCCGGAACCGGTGGACGCTCCTCCACTTTTCCCAGAGATTGATATAACTCTGGAGGAGGTAGAGGAAATTTTAAATTCCTTCGACACTCGCGAGGTCCCGCTAATCGATCCCGAACTTGACGGGGCGTTATGGTAATTTATAAATTAAATTATTTCAATATTTATTTTAAATTATATTATTAGTTAATATTAATAAATTGTTATTATAATTAGGTTCGGGGTTAACGATAAAGATTTGAGGAAAAAATTTACAGCAATAATAACGTCCAATTTTCCTCAACTCTACTACTGTTGGACGGTGGTACCGGACAACATCAAACGTTCTTGGTGGCATTCGTTCATCGTAAGTTATATTTTTAAAATTTTATTTAAATAAAATAAAAAATCACTAACTCTAATTTCTTTTAAAGCAATCTTTTCGGTGGAAAAAAAAGCACACCGATAAAGTTTACAAAGAGTTCAACCAGCTGGGTATGCAGCGGTTGAAACAAATGATGAACAATGTCAAACGCTGTCATCAGCTGCATGGACTGCCACCAGAGTGGGCAACAAATGACTTGTACCAGCAGCTTCTTATGCATTGGAACTCAGACCATTTCAAGAACAAGAGTTCTAAGGCGAAACAAAGTCGTCTGTCCCAAAAAATCGAGAGTGATGGGCCTCATCGTCATACCTCCGGTGCTAAATCATTCAAGAAGAGGCAAAAAGAGATGGTATTTATTTAAACTTTAATTTAATTTTTAATTAGTTTTTTAATTCTAGATTTTTTATTATGTTAATAATATATATATATATATATATATATAGGAGAAAGAAATGGGGAGAACGCCATCAATCGTAGAGTTGGTCGCTCGGACACACAAAAAGTCTGATGGGACATATGTCGATCCCCGTGCAGAACGAGTTGTAAGCACGGTAACTCAACGACTCACCCAACTCTCGCAAAATGGTGGCAATTCAGCGGGTTCTTCATCCGGTCTCTCTGCATCGGACCAAGATCGTTGCTATGTGGAGGTAAAACTTAAAATAATTCATTTTTAAATATTATATTTTAATATTTTCTTTCAATTTTAAATATTTTCTTCATTTTTCAGTCGGTCTCTCCAAATAAGGGCCGCATCTATGGATTAGGAGGATTGCAGCGAGATTTGTTCGATAATTTCGGTGCAGCAATTCCTCCTGGCATGCAGAGCGATCTCGAACAACAACGGCGGATCGAGACATTCAAGCAACAACTTGCGACGACGAGGCAACAAGTGACTAATCTCGAACAAATCGTTGAGCTTTTGCGGGGTGATCGGCCACTCCACAATACGCCGCCAAGCTCGGGAGCAGAAACAACGGCACGTAATCTCGGGACTAGCGAAGACGAAGAA